TAGAATTTACCTTTGACTTCGGACCACACCCTTTCGGCCAATCCCTTTTGTATGAAGGTTGATAAATCGGGCTTAATGGCTCCTCTAGCATGTTTTCCATCCATACGTTGAGATCGTCGCCACCCTCATCCTCCGACTCGCCTGGGTTGATGACCACTTCTGTATCACCCGCGAGCCCTGCACCCTTGCCGATCTCCTCGCGCGCGTTGTGTCGCGCGCCCGCCAATCCTAGGCCTACAAGGCCTAGGCCCGCGTGCTGCTCACTTGCGCGCCCTTCGTGCCCCGTCTGTTCTCCGCGTGACGTCCGCGCATCTCGGCTACCGCCTGTGCCCCAATCGCCTACCGCGCATTCTATTGCGCCCGTGATGCGGACACGGCGAGAAGACTCAAGAACGCAGTGAGTCGCGCGTGGCATGCGCGAAGGAGGCTAAGTCGCCGTGCCGGCGAGGCGCGATACGCGGGCGGACACGCGCGCGATACTGTCGGGGATGAGCGCGGGGTTGAATGCACAGGCGACTGGGTTCACGCGCGAACTTGCCTAGGCGCACGAGAATTAGGCGAGCTGCTAGACGCGTGCGCGGGAATGGAACATGAAGCCCTATTCCTTGGGCGATTAGGCAACACGGACGCGGGGCCAGGCGGCTTGGGGCGTAAGCAAGAAATAATTTAGATAGCTTGATTAATATTTTATTTCCTTGTTTTTTAGTTTGTTTAGGATACTTTATATTTTATTGCTTCCCTACAATAAGTAGTCTAGTCTAAGTAGATTAGGACTAGATCTTTATTTTGAGCCTTATAAATAGGCGTGCCTTTTTCTCAATTATTCAGATTGATTCTTCTTAATACAAAAACTGAACTTTGTTCAAATCTCTTGCTTTAGTTTACGTTAGGTGTTCTATTGCAAATTATCGTTCGAAGGGGCGCGAGTGTGTGAACCTCCGAGCACAGTATCGGTGATTTAAGGCGCAGGAGCGGCTTGTCGGCAATCGGGACACACGGTCTTCATCATTGGTGCTTTCATTGAGAGGGTCGATCGTGTGTCTTTCCTTTCCTATTCTCTTTTCATTTTTCTTTCTTAATCTTCGTTCGTTCAAAAAAAAAAAAGCAAAACATTCAAAATTAGTCCGGGAAGTCGAGAACGTAGGCAAGCCAGAAAAGATATGGCCAATCGGGAGTAGAAGGAAAAGGTTGAAGGTTTGGAAGGCCAATTCAAGGCCATAAGCGAGAGCATGGAGGATCGGTTTGGATCGCTCGACGAGAGACAGATCAGCACCAATGCTGCTTTGGCTCGCCTCGAGCAGCGCCTGGAGGAGGTGTTGCGCGGGTTTCAGCGACAGCAGCAGCAGGAGCCACCACGGGTGAACGCACGCGAGCGTCTAAGGCAACAGGAGCAGCAGCGGGCTGAGCACAACCCCGAGGAGGAGGAGAAATATGAACAACGGTCGCAGGCGTCGAACGTACAGGAGCGAGCCCGCGTCGAGAAACCAAGGATCGTTCTCTCGACGTTCACAGGAACCAACCCCGACGCTTGGCTGAACAGGGCGGTGCAATTCTTCGACTTAAATGAGATGTCGCAACGTGCCTGGGTTCGGTATGCTGCGTACTATTTACATGGTGAGGCCAACGTGTGGTGGCAGTGGCTCACGCGCGTGTATCGCGGGTGGCAACAACCAATCCGTTGGGAAGATTTTGAACGTGAGCTCCTTATGCGTTTTGGGAACTCAGACTATCATAACCACGACGAGGCGCTGACTCGGATCCAGCAGACGGGGAGTGTACGTGACTACCAAAAGGAGTTCGAGAGATTGGCGTGCCGGGTTCGTGGGTGGCCGGAGAGCGCGCTTGTTGGCGCATTTGTTGGAGGGCTTAAGTATGATCTCGTAGCCGAAGTGCGATTGGAGAGGCCGGAGACCATGCACAAGGCCATGGAGGTTGCTAGGAGACGAGAAGATCACTTGGCCGCGACTCGAAGGGGACGGGAGGATTTTTGTGTCCTGGAGCCGCGGCGTGTGCCGGCGACCGTGGGCGCACCTAGTGCGAATGCAAGGCCGCCGGGCACCTTCAGACCACCGGCAACCGAGGTGAAAAAGTTGACGGAGGAGGAGATGGCGCGAAGACGTGAGAAGGGACTGTGTTTCCAGTGCGAGGAAAAGTACACGCCGGGACATTGGTGCAAGCAAAATTTCTTGATCGAGTTCGTGGACTCGGATGACGAGGAGCCGGTGATCGAGGTAGAACGGGAGGTGGAGGTCGAGGTGCTCAATGACGAGGCCGAGATCTCAGTCCATGCGATGGTGGGCACTAAAGGCCCTAGGACTATGAAGTTACCGGCGTGGTTGAAGGATCGGCGGGTTACAATACTCGTGGACAATGGGTCGTCCCACAATTTCATTAATGCGACTCTCTCACACAAACTCAAGTTGCCCACGATGACGATTGAGCCGTTCGAGGTTAGGGTGGCGAATGGCGAGCACCTACGGTGCTCGGAGATGTACTGGGGCGTGCCGATCAAGTTTCAAGGAGTGATGGTGAAGGCAGATTTGTTTGCCTTGCCTTTGGTGGGGCCGGATGTGGTGCTTGGGGTGCAGTGGCTCGAGGGACTCGGAGATGTGACGACTAACTACCGGAAAGGTGTGATGAAGTTCGAGGCCGGTGACCAGCTCGTTACTTTGAAGGCTAGTGAAGGGGCAACCAAGGAGGTTGGTCTAAAAAGCATCGAGAAGGTGTGGCGAGGTGGCAGACAGTTGTACGCTGTCGTGGTCAAGCAGACAGGCAAGGACGCGGAGGTGGTCGAGGAGAGGCAGCGCGAGGTACGTGACTTGCTCGAGGAGTTCGACCAGGTCCTCGATGGGCCCAAGGGATTGCCGCCGCACCTGGAGTTCGACCACCGCATACCTCTGGTCGAGGAGGGTCGAGCAATGCACGTGCATCCCTATATGTACGCGCACTTTCAGAAAGCAGAGATCGAGTGGTAGGTGGGCGAGATGCTCGAGTGCGGGCTCATCCAGCATAGCACGAGCCCGTTCTCGTCACCGGTGCTGCTCGCGAAGAAGAAGGACGGCACATGGCGATTCTGCACGGACTACCGCGCTCTCAATGCAGCTACCGTGAAGGATCGCTTTCCCATTCCGAGCGTCGACGACATGCTGGACAAGTTGGGTGGCGCACGCTACTTTTCCAAGCTCGACTTGCGCACGGGCTACCATCAGATCAGGTTGGCCAAGGAGGACGTGCCCAAGACGGCTTTTCGCACGCACTAGGGGCACTACAAATATCTCGTGATGCCTTTTGGTTTGTGCAATGCGCCGTCGACATTTCAGTTTGCGATGAATTCCATCTTCAAGGAGTACCTTCGCAAATTTGTGTTGGTATTCTTTGATGACATCGTGGTGTATTCAAGGACTTGGGTGGATCATCTTGGGCACTTGCGGGTTGTTTTGGGGATCTTGGAGGCTAACTCATTCTACATCAAGCCGTCCAAGTGTTCGTTTGCTCAAGAGGTGGTCGAGTACCTTGGGCACTTTATTTCTCATGATGGTGTTAAGGTGGATCCAAGGAAGATTGAAGCGATAGTGGGTTGGCCGAAACCCACGAGCTTGACACAGTTGCGAGGGTTCCTTGGTCTCACGGGCTATTATCGGAAATTTTTAAAGGACTATGGGACTATCGCGAAGCCACTCACGGAGATGACGAAGAAGGGAGCATTCAAATAGACGGAGGCGAGCGAGAAGGCTTTCGAGGAGCTGAAGGCGGCTATGACGACCACGCCCATTCTCGCGATGCCGAGGTTTGATGTATTGTTCGAGATTCACTCGGATGGGAGCGACATCAGGATCGGGGCAGTTCTAGTGCAGGAAGGATGACCCTTGGCTTATCTTAGCAAGGCTCTCGGGCCGGCGCGCTTAGGGTTGTCCACGTACGTGAAGGAGATGCTGGCCGTGGTTGAGGCCGTGCGCGTGTGGAGGCCGTACTTGCTGGGGCGACGCTTTCGGATTGTCACGGACCAGCAACTGCTCAAACACTTGCACGAGCAAAGGATCGTGACGCCCGAGCAACAGAAGTTTGTATCAAAGTTGATGGGATTCGACTTCGAGATAGTGTATCGGCCGGGTCGTCAGAACACCTTGGCCGACGCATTGTCTCGCCGGGAAGATGTGGCCGAGCTCGACGCAGTGACGGGGCCGACCTGGGCCGTTTGGGCTGAGCTTCAGAAGGCGCATGATGAGGATGCGCATTGCCAGGACGTGATCGAGAAGCTGAACGTGGGACACGACGAGGACGAGGACCATGACATGCACGATGGCTTGCTCCTTTACCGTGGGCGAGTCGTCGTGCCCAAGGCGGGATCGTTGCGCGAGGATATCATCCGACACTTCCACGACTCAAAGTTTGGAGGACACTCAGGGGTGTTCCGGACATGGATGAGGATTGCGAGCACTTTTTATTGGCCAAGGCTGAGGGGTGATATGCGCGACTACGTTGGACGTTGCGATGAGTGCCAACGCACTAAGGCGGACGCGCGTCGACCGGGCAGGCTGCTCCAACCTTTGCTGGATCCCGCGCGAATTTGGGAGGACATCACCATGGATTTTATCGAGGGGCTACCACTCTCGAATGGGTTCAATGGATTCATGGTGGTAGTCGACCACCTTACCAAGTATGCGCATTTTATTCCACTTACTCATCCATACACGGCTAAGTCTACAGCAAAATTGTTTGTTGAGTATGTGATGAAATTGCATGGGGTACCGCGGTCAATTGTGTCCGACCGAGATCAGATATTTATGAGTAGCTTTTGGTCGGAGTTCTTTAAATTGCAGGGAACCGAGCTAAGCATGAGATCGACTTATCATCCACAAACTGACGGACAGACAGAGGTGACCAATCGCACACTCGAGCAGTACCTTAGGTGTTATGTGCATCAGTTTCCAAAGCGGTGGGAGAATTATTTACCTTGGGCCGAGTATTGGTATAACACCACTTACCATATCTCGACTAAGGCGACGCCGTTCGAGTTGGTGTACGGACGTAAAATTGCCGACGATCGTAAGTTGCTCGATGGGAAGCGCTGTGAATGATGAGGTCGATCGAGAGTTGGTCGAGCGCGACTTGATGTTGCGCGAGCTAAAGCGGACGTTGGAGGGCTCGATCAATAGGATGAAGACGTACCATGATGGCAAGCGGCGTGACGTGGAGTTCGAGCCCGGGGACTGGGTGTACTTGAAGTTGAGGCCGTTTCGACAAAGGACGGCCGCGCAAAGGGCTGCGACCAAGCTCGGAGTTTGATATTACGGGCCTTATAAAATTTTGGCCAAGGTTGGGAAGGTTGCTTATTGACTTGAGTTGCCGGATGATTCCCATACTCATCTGGTTATACACGTCTCACAACTCAAGCAACTGCTCGGCGAGACGCACGCGACAAAGGATCGACTACCTGCGGTCACGCCGGATGGGCAGGTTATGGTGCGGCCAAGTCGCGCGATGGAGTACCGGCAAGTCAAAAAGGCTGGGAAATATTTTTGAGAGGTGCTCGTCGAATGGGAGGACTTGCCGAGCGAGGAAACGACGTTGCAAAGTTGGGACGAGATGCGCGAGATGTTCCCCGACTTCTTCCTTGAGGACAAGGAAGCACTTGAAGGGGACGGGAATGATGCGGACACGGCGAGAAGACTCAAGAACGCAGCGAGTCGCGCGTGGCATGCGCGAAGGAGGCTAAGTCGCCGTGCCGGCGAGGCGCGATACGCGGACGGACACGCGCGCGATACTGTCGGGGACGAGCGCGGGGTTGAATGCGCAGGCGACGGGGTACACGCGAGAACTTTCCTAGGCGCGCGAGGATTAGGCGAGCTGCTGGACGCGTGCGCGGGAATGGAACATGAAGCCCTAGTCCTTGGGCAATTAGGCATTGCGGACGCGGGGCCAGGCGGCTTGGGGCGCAAGCAACGAAATAATTTAGATAACTTGATTAATATTTTATTTCCTTGTTTTTTAGTTTGTTTAGGATACTTTATATTTTGTTGCTTTCCTAGAATTAGTCTAGTCTAAGTAGATTAGGACTAGATCTTTATTTTGAGCCTTATAAATAGGCGTGCCTTGTTCTCAATTATTCAGATTGATTCTTCTTAATACAAAAACTGAACTTTGTTCAAATCTCATGCTTTAGTTTACGTTAAGTGTTCTATTGCAAATTATCGTTAGTGTGTGAACCTCCGAGCACAGTATCAGCGATTTAAGGCACGGGAGTGGCTTGTCGGCAATCGAGACACACGATCTTCATCAGCCCGCTGCTTCGCGCATGCTGCCAGTCCCCGTGGCCTGCTCGTCTACCGCTAACCCCCGTGCATCTGACGCCGTCTGTGTGTGCCTGCGCGCATCAAGGCACGATGCGCGCCACTGGATCGTGCTCGCCTCTCCGTCGCTGCTCGATTCCGCTGCTCACCCGATGGGCCCAATCCACCATGGCAGTCCCTGATCCGTACCATTGGCCCATTTGATGGACCCGGCTCGTCCCATGGGTCCCATCCTTCCAACCAAATGCAATCTCCGGCACGCCATATCCAATCGTCTTCCATTCTTTGATTACCTTGCCTACGAGCCTCCATCTTCCATGCTCGTTTCTTCCTCGCACAAGGCCCACAACAACGACTCGCCTTCTTGGCCTTTGCCTTTCGTCGTCTCTTGCGTTTCTTAGCCCTCAACTTCAACTTTGGACCACATCCTTTTGGCAAATCTCTCACGCATGATGGTTGGTAAATCGGACTAGATGGCTCCTCCAACATATTTTCCAACCATAAATCGAGATCTTCAACCATCCCATCAC